AAGAGAATTTTGCATGGGCTGGTTTACAAGAACAAAACGTCTCAGTTCTGTGGAGGCAGAGACCTAAAAAAGAAAGAGAGGAGAGAATAAAAGTGAACGGGCAGAGGACAAAAAGGAACAGACACTAACTTCAAGGGAGAGGCTTTCAAAGCAGCCCTGGCTCCCAAGTGGACGTGGGAGAAAACATGGGGAGAGCTGAGGCTGCAGGACTGGATGCAAAAGTTCCATGGGAGTAAATTATTAGGGTTGCCAGAGAGCTGAAAAGTCAGAGGAGAGTTCTGGGCTGGCTAGAATCTGAATTCCAGCAAGAACTAAGTGACAGTTTTAGACCTACAGAGCACGTGCAGCCCCCTGAACACAGGGCAGAGCAGCTTCATCCTGGGCATCTAGATGGAAGAAGAGTCCCAAAGGGCTGTGTGCAATCCTCACAGCAGCACCCAGAGCTGCCCCCTCCAGCTCCCAGGCTGGGTAACAGCCCCCCCGGCCCCGTCAGCCCAGCACAACAGGCACCCACCTCACTGCCCACCCCTGAGGAGCAGCCCCAGGGCTGGAGGAGGCAGCAGAGAAGCTGCCAAGCAGGGCAGAAACAGAAGCACAGCACTGGCCACAACTGCTTTGGCAGCCTGGGAAGCTAGCAGAGTCCAGAAAGGGTTTGGGGTGGCTGCTACATGTGCACATAGGATGTCAGTCCTCAGCCTTGCTCTCCCTGGTGGAGTAACTCCCATCAGGGAGGAGAGCATCACCCACACCCTGCTCCCAGGACAACCAGATACATCCTTACCAAACACCCCTCCACCCTCAGTTCATTTTCCATGAATTTTTCCAGATTTCCATGAACATTTCCCATGTCCCCTGAGAAGCTGAGATGCCACCACACGACCTAAATCTCAGAGCAAGAGTTTCCTGATGAGACACTGGACGTTGTGCTGTGGGACAAGGCTCTCCAGCCACCAGCAGGACCCTCTGTCCCACCAGGCTGTACCAGCTCCCTGCCAGCTCTCCCCACAGGCAGGGGGTCCCTGGCTTTTCCCAGGAGGTCCAAATTCCACCCACACCTCCAGAGCCAGCCCAGCACCCTCAGCTGGGGCCAAGGCACCAGGGTTCATGCAAATCCTGCCACCAGCAAGCCACTCTTTAAAAGGAGCTCTGGGTTCTCATTAACCCAAGGCCCTACCAAAGGTTTCTTGTGAACTTCCTTCCACCCAGACAGCTCAGTGTGGAGTCAGCACACAGCCCCTCCCACATCACACACAAAAATCTTGATTTGCTTCAAGTGCTGCTGGGATCAAAGTGAAATGTGAGAGAGAGACACAGGGGAAAGATCACTCAGGGCTTACTCAGCTGCTGAGCTCCAGAGGAACATGCTCCATGGCACTGTCAGCAAGGAGAGCACAGCATCAAGCACACAGCCTGCTGCTGGGGGCTTTGGGAAGCTCCAGTGGCTGTGGATTGACTCAAAAATCATCCAAGGGTTGGAGCCCCTCTGCTGGGAGGGTTGCAGAGAGCTCCAGCAGGAGCTGGTTGCTGCCCCATCCCTGGAACCATTCCAGGGGAGGTTGGATGGGGCTCTGAACACCCTGCTCTAGCTGCAGATGTCCCTGCTCAGGGCAGGGGGTTGGACTAAATGACCTTTAGAGGTCCCTTCCCACCCAAACCACTCTATGACTCCAGCTCTCTTTATACAGCACCAGCATTCAAGGCACAAATACAGCAAGGCTGTGGCTTATCAGGGCAATTCTCTCCTCAGGAAGCCTCATCCAGGGGTCTTGAAGAACAAGAACAAGTCCACCCCTGGTGCCACACAGCACTGCTCAGGGCCAGCTCCCTTCCCATTCATCCCCCCCAGAGACCAGAGCAAACTTCTTCCTCCACCCAGAGACGTGGTCCAAGCATCCACCCCAGCTTCCCATGCAGCCCCAGAGCTGCTCCTCAGCTGTACAGCACCAAAAACCTTCCCTCCAGGCACCCTCAGTGCTGAGCTTTGCTGAAGTCTTGCATTTTGACTACAATTCAGTGCAAACCTGAACTGTTTCACAGAGGTGCCCTGGTTTGAACTCCCCTCTTAGACAGGAAAGATTTTGATGTCTAGGATTTTTCCAAGCTAGAGAGACAGGAGATGAAGATACACAAACCATTCCTGTTTTTCCACTCAGCTGCCACCATTCTTCCAATTCTTTCTGCAAAAGCACTCAAAAGTTTGTTTTTTAAACTCAAAGTGCAGCAAAGAGCAGAGTTCTGGGCAGCTTGGCTTTGAACTCTCCTGTGGGGAGCTGATGGGAAACAAGTCCTGGAGCTAAATTCTCAGACTCAGAGCTCAGAAATGGTTCCCAGGGTGGCAAGGAGCAGGTTCTCATGGCTGGAGTTGCTTGGACTTCCAGAAGCCAGCAGGGTAGCTGCACTGGGTGGGCTCAGAGGGACTTTCACAAAGCTCAGGAGCAGCCTGAGCTTTAGGTAGGGCTCGAAGGAAACGAAGGTTTTGGGGGTCAGTTTGTTCCACACACTCTACAGCAAACCTGCCAGCACCCAGGAGAGGATGCTCATACAACCACCAGCCTTCCAAGATGTGGGAAGAAGAAAAACAAGCCCACTGGACATGACAAGGAAGGTGGGTTGGTCAGGGCAAGTGAAGCAGCTGCCAGAATAAAAATCACTGCAACTCCCCCAAGCAACAGCCTTTGACCTACCCAAGTTTTCAGCCACTCAAGGCTGCCTTGTCTCTTGTCTGGACAGCCCCTGTCAGGCTGGAGAAGTGAGGCCCACCACACATGGTCTGCAGGCTGCTCTCCTGGCTCTCCCCAGCCCTGAGCCACCAGCCCTCAGGCTGACCCTCTGCATGCCAGCAGCAGCCTGAGGAGCCACTGGGAAGAGGAGCCTAATTAAAGGAGGTGAGCTATGCAGCAAATGAGCTTCAGAGAAGACAGGAGTCCCCAAATCATCTGCTACCTGGCATCAGGGCAGGTTAACACACCAGGGAGGAAAGAAACCCACCTATAACTGCATGGACCTGCAATTTAAGCACAGAGTAAAGAGAATTTAGATATTCCTGGCTTGGGCACCCTCATCTCCCTCACACAACAGCACAGGACCAACCCTGAGCCAATCCTTCCTGTGGTACCACCTCAGAGGACACATTTACAGACAGACATATCCACCTACAGCCTGGTGCACCCAGGGACTTCCCACCTCTCCCCTCCTGGGACCAGCAACACCAGTCTCACCCCCACCCCAGACAAGCTGCTAGGATGTGTCCCCAGGCAGAGCAGGTCCCAGCCCAGCTCTCCAAACACAGCCAGCCCCAACACACCCTGGGCTGGAACCAGCACCACACCAACACGACACAATTCTACATCTTCCCCCACTAATGGGTCCCAACTCCAGGTGAAATCTGTGGTATTAGGAGGAAAACAAGATCTCTCATCACCTCCCAGGGGCCTCGAGGGACAACATCTTTCAGCAGCAAGGGGAACCACCTAGCCCAGCCACCCCAGCTCACATTGTGTGTGCAAAACCAGCGTGCCAAAGAACACAGCAGGCTGGGGGAGACAGAATTCCTCTGAGTGTTTGCTCAAGTACACTCTGCATTCTCCCCCCTCCTTCTCCCCTGGGTGCAAGGAAGGAGCAGGACTGAGACTTTCAAGGGCAAGATGGAATACACAGAGAAAGAGAGGGAGAAAACCTCCAGTGCCCCTCCTGCTTACAAAACCCACTGGAGATGGGTGCCTCTGGTGAGACCCTTGGCTGAGCCAGCTCTCCCCCAGCCCCAGAGCTGGGTCACATCCCCCCTATCAGCATTCCCAGCTGGAAAAAGGGGTTATGGCCTCTCCTCTGCACACCCAAGGGGAGGAGGGAGCCAGTCTGCCTGTTTATTTGTTGTCTGTGCAGAATTCCTGCATTCCTTCCCTTGTTTACTCATCTGCTCTCAGAGCACAGTCAGACCCCAGCGAAGGGTTTTTGGGGCACCACATCCCCCCCATCAGCCCAGAGCTCTTGCTGGAGCAGTGGACAAGCACAAAGGGGGAAGGGAGAAGATGGCAAATGGGTTGTCACAGATGTTTTCAAGGTGGGTCGGGCAACAACTGGAAGGAAGAGCAGTTCTCTCCAGCTCTGCTCTCCACAGAAGCACATCTCAAGGTCTAAAGCCCTCTTAAAGAGCCCATATGGGCTGTTGGCCCCTCAGCTGCTCCCAACAGCAGCACTCTTAGGCATGGGCATGTCAGCACTGCTCACATTGTCCCAGACAGCCCCAGGTCAGCCCACAGTCCCTGTGCTCAGCACCCCCATGAGCACAGCACAGAGTTACAGCTCTCATCTGAGCTCTTTTGGGACCAGGCACAAGGGTTCCAAAGAGATTAATGTGCAAGGGGTATGGAGCTTCACCATGACAACACAGAAGCACACCCCACACCCCCAGAAGTCACTTAGCTGTTCTGAGCTGGTTATACCTTGGAGAAGCACATTCCACCCCCAGGCAGAACTCTGCTGGCTTCTCGGATCCCTGCAGAAGTCCACGAGGCTGGCTTAGCATGTAAGGAAGCTAGAGATGACTACCATCAAGGACAGGCTTTTACCACAGGATTAACCCATTAACTTATTAGCCCTAAACCTACAGGATAATCTAACTTGGGTGTTAGGTGCCTAAATTCCTCCCTAGGTGCCTAAATTCCTTCCTAGGTGCCTGCCACACACTCGTGTTTGCACAGGACTTGCAGTGGGGATGTTCCCAACCCCATCAGACTCATTGCAAAGCTCAGAAACGGTGTCAAATCTGGAGGAAAAAACTAAAACAACTTTACTTGGTCACAACCACCACCTCTGACCCCAGAACCAGGCACCAAGCAAACCCCCAGGGCCATGGGACTCAACCCCAGACACAAGCAGGATCTCATCACCAGCTTGGAGGAGAGGGGTTGGCGTGTTAAGAGCACGGGTTGCCCAGCAGAGCCAGGGCTTGGCCACGGCTGCTGGGAGCAGGGAGAGGGGCTCCCCTGCTCCAGACTCACCTTCCACACAGTGCTCCACCTCCTCCAGGTTACGCAGGGTGATCCTCATGAGGCTGGAGTTGAGCATCAGCTCGTTGCGGTGAGCCGGCCAGAGGCTCTGCGGGGCGGGGTTGACGAAGAAAATCCTCGTGTCCCCCGTGGAGACTTGGTTGTCACAGATCAGGGGGTCCCCAAAGCCCCCGATCACCACCTTGTTCCCCCCATCCAGCAGGATCTCGTGGGTGACGATGTCTTTGCCTTTCAGGTAACGCCAGACTCTCACCTGGAAAGGAAGCAAAGCCATGTGAGAGGTTTCCTGGGCGCTCGCCGGGCTGGTTAATTTTTAGCAGGCTGTCACAAGATGGACAAGAGTGGTTGGGGCTGGCCAAGCCTTCCAGCAGGGTTCATTTCATTAGCCAGCCTCCTAAAAGCACAAAACGCATGGGCAACAAGCTAAAAAACAGGAAAATCATCTATATAAACAAACCAAAAATCAGAGCTGGCCCAGTCTTGCCTGTTACTAATGAAGAATTCACACTGATAGCAAGAGATCCACTCTGGGTGCTTGGAGAGAGGTGAGATCCACCTCACCTACCACTCACCCTCTCCACATAAGTGAGCTGGGACCTGCACAGAACCAAGCCCCAGGGCTGGGGTTGTGATTCAAGCCCTACCAAGGACACTGTGCCAGTCTCAGCCCTGCCAGGGGAATCCCCCTTCTGCTCCCAGCAGCATCATTCAAGGTGACAGACTCCAGCTGGTAGAGTTCTCCCAGAGATATCTTGACTCACAGCAAAGTCTCAGTGGTGAAATGTATCAAAGGAGGAAAAAAAAAAAAAAAAACACTTGAATTTAAAAAGAAAAAAAGCTTTGAAGGGCACATTAAATGGCTGGAAGCCCCCAGTGGGGAAGGCTGCACAGCTAAGAGCACTGTTCACCCATGGGGCAGGCTCTGAGCAGTGGCACAGGGGCTTTAAAAGAGGGATGGGAAGAAGAAGGTGGGGTTGGGTGAAGGAAAGAAGGGAGGCTTCCAGCTCTGACAAGGCACGGGTGCCTCAGAAGATGAAAGGCAGAGCAGGTAACACACCACGTAGAAATATCAAAGGCAACTCATGTTCCTATAAATGACTAAAGAAAACCTTTGCCTTGGCAGGCAGCTTGCTGAAATGCATGGAGGGTTTGGCAGGAGGAGACCATCTCCCTTTACTCATCCAGACTTCTGGAGGAGCACAAGTCCTGTCCACCAGAGCCAGTCCTGCTCTCCCCCCCTGCTGCCAGCAGTTCTAGAGCAGCCTCCCTGGACCCCACTGCTGGCTCATCCCCCTGCCCCAAAAGAGGTGAGACCTGCACACAACTGCAAGCCAACCTCTGCAGCAAGCTGCCCAAGAGAAACACCCAGGCAGGAGGGATGCAGCAGCCCTACAATGAATCTTCAGTGCACGTGGGACACCAGAGACGTGTCCCCATCCACTCCTGATTGTCAGAGAACCTACTGCTGCAGCCCTGTGGCAGGGGAAGCAGAACAGAGCTGAGCTGGAGAGTTGCACATAACAGGAACAGGTCATCAGAGCTGCCCAAGGTTCTGCTTGGAGCAAGGGTGGCTGCTGTAGCACATGGGTGTTGCTGTGGCCACAGGTATCCTGGCCTGGAATGCTCCAGTCGTGCTCTCTGCCAGCATCTCCCCCCCACCACAGCCTGAGTGCTCAGTCACCTGCATTCTCCAGCTGTCTTCCCAGCCCAAAGAGCCCTTCAGCACACTGTGCCAAGCACCAAAGCACCCAGGGAGGGGGTGGCTCAGAGATAAGGGGGCTCTCCATCCCCTCTCTGAAACAAGCACACACACACAGGGACCTGGAGAGTGCAATTCCAAAGGGAACGTGAGGGGCAGAGGGAGGATGCTCACATGGATGGGGGCAGAGAGGTCTCTCCAGAGCCTGGGGGACAGCAGGGGTGGCCCCCAGCTGTTCACACAACAGCCTCTGTGCCTGACATAGGTGCTGGGGACTTGCTGCAGTTGAGGAAAGCACAGAGCAGACATCATCCCACTCAAGAATTCACCATTTGAATAATTATCTGCAAGTGCAGCTCACTGGCCTCTGCCCTTGCACAGCCCTTCAAGTGCATTGTGTTTCCCTGTGGGCTTCTTTCAAGCCATCCAGAGAGACTCTTACTCTTCCCAAATATCTCCATCCCATTACTCAGTGACTACAGAAGACACATACAAAGATCTGACACCACAAAGTTCAAATAAAAGGGTAAAAACACGTTGTGGGCTAGGGGGAAATGCAAATCTCATGGCCTTTTATCAACCTTGTAAGTTTTTGAAGCTCTCAATCCCGAATTTCAGGGGTGAGAGCTCAGCCCTCTCTCAGTCCTGACCAAGAGGCTTCAAGCCCACAATGATCTTGAGCTGAACTCCCACATACTGTCCCTGCCACAGCCAGGAGCAGGCAGCTAGAGGTGCTGGGGTGAGGGAACAGAGCTATTCCCACCACCACAGCAGCAAGCAAGATGGTCTCAGACCCTCCTGCTCAGCCCAACATTCAACTGCCAAGCAGAAAAAGGGAATTCATCTAGTGTTGTACTCTACAGAAGGTTAAGAACAAAGTTTAGGAGTGTATTTTATTCTCAGATCCTCCTACTTCTCACACCTTCTCCTGCTGGTGTAATATTTGCCCACCTTGAAGGACTCTGGGCTTGATGGGTCCCAGTTCCAACCCAGCCCAGCAGGTCCCATGATCCAAACAGCAGCCACTGCATCTTTCTGGGGTTGAGCCCTGAGATCAAAAAGCAGCCCAGGCACAAACTCTGCTGCCACAGCCCCTCTTTGGAAGCTGCCCATGCTTCCAGAGCTGGGGAGGTTTGCTAGAGGTGTTGTACCCACGTGTCCTCACACTCCTCTGTCTTCCAGCAAGGAGCCAGCTCCCCCAGCCAGCACTGAGCAATGCCACAGCAACCAAAAACCATGCAATACCTTCCACCCAGGCTGCCATCCCTCCCCACACAGCCCAGATCCGAGCTGCTGGGTGGGGGGAAGAGGAGGGGCTGAGGAAGCAAAGCCTTCAAAGCCATTTGTGCAGCTCATTTCAGCTGGAGGAGCAGTGCTGACTGCCCAGCCATGCCCAGCTCTGCTCCCCAGAGAGATGGCAGCCAACCAACGAGCAGAGGGAGTTTCAGATGGTGAGGAGGAAGGGGAGCTGTGACAGGAGGCTCCCCTCATCCTGGATTTTACAGGAATCAGGGTGCTAACACCAGCATCTGCTCCACCACACGCTGGTGGTGGCAGGTGGGGCAGCTCCCTTCAAAGAGCCAGTTGGGGGCCACCAGCACGTGTGGCACCTCAGGTGAGGTGAGGAGGCTGGTGCTCAGCAGCACAGCTTGCAGACTTTTAACACAAGCCTCCTGCTTTTCCCCCACCTGGGACCAACCAGCTGCTTCTCCTTGCAGCCAGCACAGCTCCCCGTGGTTGAGCTTCTCCCCACAGTCAAGTCAAGACACCTTCCTGCAGCCCCACCTCCTCTTCCTTCGGCAGCAGCAGCCCGCAGGGCAGGAGCAACCAGGGCAAAAACACAGAGGAGACAAAGGGGAAAAAACACAGGAGGCAGGGAGAGAGCACAGCCTGGGGCTGGGGCTGCAGGGCAGGAGCCAGTGGGGCATTTTCACAGCTAGGTCTAAGAGGGGGGTTAAGGCTAAAGCCTCCCCCCTTCTTCTGGAGCAGATGGTAATTTGAGTTAATTAGCACGGCTGTTCTAGTCATGCACCTCAGAGCCAGGCCACAGCATTCACCAGCAACATCAGAGTCCACCAGCTTTCTCCCCACCCTTATCCTCTGTAATGAATGGATGTGAAGGCACCAGAGATCAAGCAATTACCTGTAGGGCATCCCATTCATCATCACACACAATTAAGACTTTGTCACTGGTGACTCACCGGCTACATCAAGGATTGAAGAAGGAGAGAGGGGGGAAAAAAAAAGGCCAGAACCTAGTTCCAGGAGATCCCTTCCCTGTAGCAGACTCTTTTGCCAGCAAGCACATAAAACACTGGATTAAGACTGTTTTACAAGACTCCTGGCAGCTACAGGGAAGCAGAGCAAGAACAGTGAAAACTTTATTTAAGCAGAACCTTGCAAGGATCTCCGAGTGCAGCACCAAACCAGAAAGGAAAAGGATTTTCCATGGAGGTCCATCCCACCCGAGGGGACAGGACCACCTCCACAGGCATGTGGAATGCTGGCAAATTCCTGCCAGGAGGCTGCTTTGAGAAATGCCAGCCTCAGTCTTGTGAAGAGATATGAGAAGTTAGAGTCCAGACTCCTCAGGAAGAGAGTTGTCACTCTGGAGAGAAGTAAAAAGGGTCACCCCTAGATTTAGCAGCTCTTAAAGATGAAGGGCACTGGGTTGACATCAGCTCCTTGCAGCTTCACACCCAGCTATGCCAAACCCTTCCCTCCTGACCTCACACCATCCCTCTCTCCCCTTCCTTGTCACTCTCTGTGCCTTTCCCTGGCAGAAGCCAGCTGCCCTTGTCCTAGGAGCTAGCAGAGCACCCAACCCACCTCCCCCAGCAACTCCCCCAGCCAGCCCTGGCTGGAGAACAGCCCTCCTTACCCCCCACAGCACAGGGCCTATTGTTTGGAACAGGATCTACATCCTTTTCAACACTTCCTATAGCATATAGAATCTGGATTTGTCCTATAAATAGGGGCTCACTTCAAAAATATCGGGTCAGGGACTTCAGGGGACTCAGAAGCAGGAGGGGACAAGGACAATACAGAGGCTGCAAATAGGATGAGCAGCAGCAGCACAAGTTTGGGGAGCAGAGCGAGCCCAGGGCCACAGTCAGGAGCCCCAGTTCAACCCCTCACCTTCAGAGTTGCTTTCTGGAGTTCTGTCAGCCTGTTCTTCCTTATTATTCACCTCCTCCAGTAGCAAATGCATGGCTGGTGGCTGTTTATGGGTGTTTATCTAACATTAACTTCACATCACTTCTGAGTTGTAATGTGCTTATCTTCATCTATCAAAGGCTTCAGCTGGGAGGGTTTAGACTTTAACTAGGAAGAACAATCCAGCAATGCTTCACTCAGAGATATCCACATGCCTGCTCCCTGGCAGACCACCCAGCACCAGTAACACTCTTTATTTTGGGTGTGGGCTCTAGGGAACTCCTCCCGCACACTTGGCCCTTGCCTTTCCTCTGTAGATAAAGAAGAGCCTGACAAGAGATAAATGTGCTATCTGGAGGCAACCCCAGGGCCTAAAGAATGGTTACTGGAGTAGGACAGTGAGGAAGCAGATGTGTTTTCTCACCAGCTAGATCCTTTCTGCCCCTGGGCTTGTTCCAGCTCTCCAGGACAGCAGGAGCAGCCAGGTTTAGTGCCCAAAGTGGCCTTTGGGGATCTTGGTGCTTGATAAAAAACACCAAACCCAACTGCAAGCATATCTAACCCTGCAGCCCAGCATCAGCAGGATCCACGGCAATTTCAGTGCTTTGAGAAATCTTAAAACAGGCCAGCAGCTGCTGCAAAGCTATGTATTTACAAGTCATGAGTGCTGCGCCCTACCAAGTCACAGTTTGGAGAGATTTATCTGCTTTCAGGTCCTTAAGACACTCCAAAAGTCCTGTTTCAAAGCTTTTTTTTTTTTTCTGGAAAACATACCATGGGCTTACCATTAAAAATTACACAGAGAATTTTGGTGTGTAGGTAAAGGAACTGAAGAACTGTTGTCCTAAGAAAACCACTGAATATCACAGGGTGACCAGGAGAGCCAGCAGCACTGCCACAGCGAGGTGGGATGGAATGGACACTTCCAGCCAGGGTGGGAGAGAAGATTTTCCTCCTTTCATTTTCTTTTACAGGCCTCCAGGACTGAAAGGATAACCTGGGGGCAGGTTCTGGCCTTCAGATGCTGTCATGACCCATGCAACCAGCAGAAGCAAAATCCCACAGCTAACTCCAAAGGAGCACGAGGCTTCTCCACAGCTCTGCTTGGGTTGGCTCAGAGTGAGACACTCTCTGCCCAAGCTGAGCGGTGCAAACTGTTTCCAATAAAGCCACCACCAGCAATTCCTTCCTACCAACTGCTCTTCACACCCTTCCAGGGGCAGAGGTGCTGGGCAAGCAGCTTTATCATCACAGGAGCCCAGGCAAAACAGTTTTCCCAGCCCAGAATCTTGCCCTGATGCAGCGAGATGAACCCTGGATCTCCCACTAGCCACCCAGACACCTCGCTGCATGTCCACAGCGGGTGGAAAGAGCCCAAATTCCTCAGAGGAGCATTTCTGCCTTGTCACTAGCCTCACTGGGCCACCTCCTGCCTACTTGCCTGGCAACCCTTGGTGACCTACCTCCATATGGGCCCCGAGCTGCCGCAGGACACCGGCTGCTCCCAGCAGCTTAGGAGTGTTCTGCGTGGCACCCAGGAGGTGCCAGACACTTGGCAAGCAGCCGGTGCCTGCGCTAGCCCGCAGGGGCTGGCATCTCATTTGCGGGAGCAGGGTGCAGATTGCACCGCGTGGCACCGAGCAGGGGGAGCCAGCGGGCACCAGCTGGGCAGGGAGAAGCTGTGCCACTAGTTTACTGGGTTGAGAGATGCTCTAAAGGAGAGGCCGGTGCCACGGTTCCGAGTGAACCTTCCCGCATCACCCCGGGTCCCGCTCAGAGCGATTCCTAGGCAGGATCCGCAGCAATTCTGGCTTGTATTTTTTATTTTAAGATTGGGCAGAAAAAGAGGATGGGGAGAAGAGGAAGAGGCCGTGCAGCAGCATGTCCTCACAAGTGGAGATTCCTGCCCCGGGAAGGGTTAAGCCATCCAGCACGTTTTCTGACAACCAAGGGATGGTATTTCAGGTTGCTCGGTACTTTACAGTTTCTCAGCTTGGGGGTGGGGGGAGACCCAAAAAAAAAAAACCCAACGTAGCCAGAGGCCAGATTGGTAGTTAAACAATAGCTGGAGCTGGAGGAACTCAAGATGCTGCTAAAGTAAACAGGGAGCTCGGAGCAGAGCTCCGCACACCTTCCCCGGCAGCCCCAACCCTGGCCGAGCAGAAAGTTGGGAATCAGCTCCGC